CGATCCCGATTTTGATACTGCCGTAGATCCCGTTTTGGCCGTCGATCCGGACTTGGACACCGCTGATCCTGTTTTGGATGGGGCAACGGATCCAGCCTTGGACGCCGTAGACCCAGTCTTGGGTCCGGATCCAGATTTTGACGCAGCAGCGGTGGATCCCGTCTTGGACGTCGATCCCGGTTTGGACACCGTCGATCCCGTTTTGGACGTAGCAACGGGTCCAGTCTTGGACGCCGAGGTAGACTTGGATCTAGCGGTGGATCCAGACTTGGATCCGGCACCTGACTTCGAGGGAGAAACGGAAGTCTTGGGCGCGGGTGTAGATCCTGCCTTGGACACAGAAGTGGATCCCGCTTGCGGAGCAGATTTAGAAACCGGATTCGTTTTGGGCTTGGCTTTCGGGGAAGCTCGGGCCTGCTTATGGGGACGGGAGGATCCGGTGCTAGGAGCGGGAGATGTACTACGCGGGCGTTTCGCAGTCGACGAATCCGCCCCACTTACCGTCGGAAGAGGAGCAGAAACGCTAGCAGCCTGAGAGGGCCCCGACAAGGGAGGAAGTGGATCCGAGACGGCAGCTGTCACCAGCGCCAGTCGTCGACGTGCCAAATCGCGCTCCGACAGGCCGCGATCGCGCTCCAGGATCAGCTGTTGCTGCTGAGTTTGGGCTGCGGAAAGTTGATCCTGGAGTTTCGCGGTGGTCGCATCTGCTTTCTTCAATTTGTCACCTAGATTGACAATAACAAGTGAAATAGTGTCGCGCGAATTCGTGCTAAGGCAGCAAGGGAGAGCCGGCTCTTCTCGTCTGCATCCGGATTCAGTGCTTCCGTAGACTCGAACAAGGAGCGCATGCTGGGGTACCCGTAAGTGTCGATATTCGACGGGTCCAGCGCGTTCTCGAGCGTGGCGTCGTAGCGTTCCTTGTCCTTCTGCTTCAGGGTCGCTAGGTCCTCGGCAATGGGTCCGTTGTAGGGACGGCCATCGCGTGTGGCTCTGCCGGGTTGGCCCCCGAGCCAATACATCTCAGGGCGCTTCTCCAACATCTCGAGGAAGGCATAAAAGCCCCATGTCTCTATGCAAATACTGGTGAAGGCCCAGCGAGCTTGGACGGCGCGCATCTTCAGCTTACGACGCTGAGTCATGGCCACTGCAGTGGCAAGAGGAGCGTGTAGGGCCCACTCCCAGAAAGCACGGCGATGGGTCATCCAGAAACGCCAGTGTGCGCGGTACACTTGACTGAACTTGATTGGATCGTACCACATGGGACGTCCGGTCCAAGGGTACGCCAGGCGCCAGGGCTTCTTACCAAGGGCCTCTGCCTTCGCCAAGATGGCAGCAATCGCCCGACGAACGGGAGCAGGAGCAGAGCGACTCACGTCGAGAAGATGGCCGAACTCGTTGGATGGAACGTGCGCCTTCTTGGGTTTGCTGGCGACGCGAGCCTTCTTAGTGGACGACTTGGAAGTAGAGTCGTCACCGCTGGACTTACGCTTGCCTCGCGCGGGCGACTTAGGCGACCTGGGTGTCTTCTTGGAGGGCGACTTCGACTGCTTGCTCGACGACGTCGTCGACGCCGTAGCAGATCCTGAAGAGGGAGCAGAATCTACCGGCGCGGGGAGGGCCACGACGGTTCCTTGGAGCGAAGCGTCGGTCTGACCGTTCATGATGTCCTCGGCGAGCTGGTCCAAGAACTGGAGACCCGACGACATGCTGTTGTCGCCCAGGCGCGCGCGCAGCTCGGTCCATAACCGCTGCTGGAAGGCCTGCGCAGTGTCCCCAGGGGTGCCCTGCTCCTCATGGTCAAGGGCGGCGTTGAAGAACGCCCGGAAGCGCCTCAGCTCGGCGGCGGTAAGTCGTGTGGACATGGTGAAGAGCGGATTGTGAAATGAGAGAAATCCGAAAACAGGAAGTTTTCACTTGATGGCTGCCAAGGGTCACGCGAGAAGGTTCGACAGTTGGGACGTGGCGTCGACTGAGGGACGCAATGATGCTTGGTGACCTGGGCGGACAAGGTTTCGGGTGAAGAACCTTCCTGACGGCTAACGGTCTGGAGGATCTGCTGTTGTGACGATGTCACTTGGAAATTGATGAAGATGTGGGGAGCGTTAGCGGAATGGGCGGAACAGGCGAACTGGACGATGGACTTCGAAGTGGCGGACGAGATGAGGGTCGTCGGCAGCGCTGTGATGGGGATAGTGATCTGGATTGCAACGACGCCTCTGCGGAACGTGTCGTGGGCGTTCCTCGACGGAACGATCGAGAACGTACGTGCCATCTACTTTTTCTGGTACACTTGCTGCGATCGCTACTTGGTGGCGGCTCGAAACGCCCATGCCGCAGCTGTGCCACCTCCGGAGTACGCGTGCGCGCTAGTAAAGCTACTGTTCTTGGTTCCTATCGCGGTGCTACAGGACTACGAATCCCGCTTTGAGATTACCGGTCGAATGTGCCTTAAGTGGTGTGAGGCGTTCCACCATTCGTGCTGCCTGTACGTTCCAGAGGCGAGTCTTTTGCTATGGGGAACGTCCTGCCGGTACGCTCGTGCCACCAGCGAAGCTGTGGTAGCCGTTGTGGATCGAGTTGGAGATTTTATCGTGGGAAGCTACTTGCTGACATCATTACTACTGTCTATCCTAATCTACCTGCCCCGCCTGGTGTACGAGAGCATCGAGGGAATACTGTGTGGCTGGATGGGAGTGACGCTGGTTGTGTTGATCGTGGACGTCTACCTGGAGTTTGAAATTGGCTGTTGCTACTGGAACTTGGCTGTGTTAGTGGTCGGTTGCTACAGTTACGTGGTGCGGTATTACGAAGGGCTCCGGCCGAGCGCTATGGACCAGAATGATAAGGCGGCGAGACGCAAGTGGGAAGGACTGGCTGGTCGTATAGAGCGTCGTGAGGAAAGAGAGCGAGCTAGCGTGGAACGACTGCGAGGCATGCAGGCCGAAGGAACGTCGTCTGGAGTAAGGAACGAGAGTCCTAATGCAAGTGGAACGTCACGTGGGAACGTTCCAGATCTGACTGTGGGAGACACCGTGCGACAGGCTCCGGGCGATGTGGCTCGGCGAGGTCACCGAGCGTCAGTCGGGGAGAATTGTCACGGTGTACAGTTAGACGGTGGATTAACGATGCTGGCTGACTGCCTGCAGAAGGTCTACTCACTCCAGACTCTCCGGACCACGTCCAAGCAAGCGGGACCTGCGGCCAAGACAGTGACGTTCCAAGTGTGAAGTCGTGGAGCAGCTGGTCGTGGCGGGAATTGGAGCTGGACCGCCACGCACGAGGGATCTGACAAAAAGTAAGAAGCTCTAAAAACTCTTAGCGAGGTGAAACGAGGAAGTCAGTCGTGGATTTCCTTCTAACAAGAAACACAAGAATATATCAACTTTTACATTACTATCACAGTAGTGTCGCTAATACTACTACCTCCTACGTCGGCCCAAGATACTCACGACCCCGATTAGAGGAAAACCGCGACAATACCATGTAGCGCAGTAACAACAGCACCTTCTGTAAAATGTGTTGAGATAAACCGGAATGAACTCTGTGCGACGTTATTAATAGCAGTATCACCCTAAGCGCGGTGAGACCTCTGGATCTTGTCCATCGTTGCGGTTCAGCCATCTGATGGTTAATGCGCCGTCTCGTGTCATACCAGGATGTCTAAAAATATCAATATGATGTAACACACACAGCTATAATCGGGACATAGTATATCAATACCACCTTTTCACTACTGAAAAACATCCTTTTTTTAAAGGTGCTGAATTCCATCCTTTTTTGTATTGAAAATAATCTCTTTCCCGCGTAAATAACTGAAGACTTGGTTTCTAAACGCAAGGGAACGCTGCAACGTCGTGACGAACACTTACTGCGCTGAACTCGGACATTGACGAGCTTTATAATACTTGTTCCGATATTATGTCCCAGCATTTAGTGGTAATTTCACCCAGCGTTATTCGGACTTCGAGGACGTAATCTGAGGACCAGCTCGCTTCTTCTTTATCGGTGTGAAAGCCTCAACGACAATTGTATTTTATCGTTTGATTGCTACAACACTAGCACTTTCTCTACGATTGGTAGTGACTCCTTGTCCATAAAGAGTACTGGCGCCGCGCCAGTGGCGCGTTGTGATGCTGTGCCATGGCGTGTCAGTTCAGGACTCTTCTCTTATTGCACTTGAGAGTGCTAGTTCCGCTGCATGCAGGCTCGTTTCACAAATTAAGGTAGCCTAACATCAATGAGTAAAACAGCTATTTTTATGCGTCCTCTACTACTGAAGTATTGGAAATAATTTGGCATCTTGAGGCGTGCCCAGAGTATGAAATGTTTCGCTGGTAGCTTCGTTTCGGGTTCAATGGATGTCTTCTGGACTTGCAGTGGCGTATGGGTTTTTGGTCTTCTTTGTCAAGTAGAGGAACTTGAATTGAGATGTGTATTATACTTTAGCGATTAAAACGAATACAAGAACCGTAATACCCGCGCATTACCCCCTCCCGCCCCAACCACCATTTGTTTTACTTATGTATTATAGACCCGAGTGTACTGTACTTAGTTTTTTTTTCAGATTTTGGGATACCGAGTGGCGTCATTCAAATTAAGCGTAATCCAAGCGTTGGCTAGCAGCAGCAACCCTACCTCTGCCAATCCGAAGATCAGCACTGTAGTCAACAGTGGGCGGCAGTGTATAATAGTGTTAGGATAAGGCTATATGCTCCCTAGCCTACTACACGTTCATTTTTCTATTTCTCAAGACAGCCCCACGTCGATATCTCAAGACTGATGAAGATGAACTTCAAGACCTACGTTCTTTGTGCTGTTGCCGCGGTGTTCGCCACGTCAAGTAGTGCGCAGCCGTACTGCACAGTGGAGCTCGGCTGCGCTCTGAGCACTTTTTCTGATCATAATCTCAAGCTCAGCGAGTGCTGTCGTAAGCAACCGAACTTTAATGTTTGCTGCTCGGAAAGTTGCCTCAAAGGGCCTCCATGCAACCCACAATGGGGTAAGTGAGATGGATGTCAAGTCAGCGATGCAGATTCGACAGTGCGAGACTCAAGCTTGTCTTGTCGAGGCTAAGCTGGACTTAAAATGAGATTGTTCAAATAAGAGAACCAGCAACGACTTTTCTAAATTTGTTTTATTCGTTCGCAAACTTATTACCTTACCTTTGGAACGGTGTATTTCTACAAGGTGCTGGCGATATTATTACATAGTCACACCGCAGAGATAAGTTTCTACTTGCGTTTGGTCAAGGCCATGGTATAAAAAAATGATAGCAGTAAATTATCTTAACCATTTACAAAATTTTGCCTCAATAAGGAATTCCTCATATGAATATAACTTTTGAGGTATTGCTGTATAAATAATAGAGGTTTCAAATCATGCATTTGAAGACGACTGTGAAGAAACAGTGCCAAAGGTTATTAGTTTTTATAGCTTCCATATTGAGACGATATACGCTTCGTAGTGTCCGACACCATTGCGTAGAAAGACTATAGTGAAGCTTACTCAACATTTTGCTTCTCTTTAGGCCCTCGATGTATTTAAATGTAGAAGTATACAGAATTGACAAAACGCGGTGTAAGCTGGTGACAGCATAATCCGACCTTTTCTCAAATGGGCACTGATGCCCACGTGCCCTTTATTCAGGGATGTGTACAGTACACTTTACTTTGTACATCCCTCGGTGAAATCTGGTGACAGCATAATCCAGCCGGCTGTACTATATCTTTGCACAACTATCCCTTTATATTTGAAGTAAATACTGTCGAAGGCGTTTGCGAGGAGAAGCGAAACGGTCAAAAGGTTCTTGGAGTAAATGTCCAGCAAAACGTGCGTTAAATATTGTAGCTTAATTAAAGATTAGGCAACAAAAAAAACACACACTCAGATCCAACCGCTGGTCGACACATTATTTGTCATGAGGGCCCATCCAGACTGGATGTACTGTACGAAACACACGACTAGATTCCAGTCGTGTGTATCGTACAGCACATGGGCGATTACGGTAAGGATCAAAACCGGCATAGCTGTCTACAGAAAGAAGCAGTACAGTATTCCGCGTGAATAGCGAACGGGTCATGAGCGTATAAATACCATAAAGAATAATACCAGTCCATCAGCACAACAAGAAGGATATGAGCAAATGTATTGAGTGTTGGAAGTGCAAGATGTGCACGTACATCGACTCCAGAGTAGTATCTATGTTACGGCATATGGAAGGTTCTAGAAGGATCTAGGCATAGTGATAGGTCTTAGTTAGCGGATGGTTGGTTAGTTCTCACTTCGAGATTGGTAAAGCCACTGACGAGGCCCCGGCGGGGGCCGAAACGCGTCTGGCACGCGTTCAATCCAAGTCATTCACATCTACTCGATTCTACATTTTCAACATTGAGCTAAGATTGAATCCACCGGAGATACTAAGCAAAAAATTCAGTACATTTCAACATTTGAAATTGGTGCGCTTTTGGCGATCTTTTTCGCCTTGCATATGTTTGCACATAGCTTAGCGAACCTTCACATTTAAGCTTACCCCGCCGTTGCTAAGCTACCAAATCCGCCATTTCTCGCAATCCTACGAAGCGGCTACGCCTTGGGCCGAGAAGGTGGCCATTATCAAGAAGCAAGCACTCTCTCCTTCTATAGTCCTGAAAGGCAATCGCTGAATGGGCCGTAAACGAATTCTGTCTCCCCACCACTCCCGGTAAAGCCACCATGTGTAGTATTTATAAGTCGTCAGCTAAACTACTGAAGCAACCAGTGGAGAAAGCTACTCTTTTATCCAAAAAATGATGCATGCATTAGATCGCTTAGGAGAAGGACACGCCGAGCCTTATAAAGTGGATTCGATGTTGTGCGAGGGTGCGTGGTCGAAGGTGAGCGCGACAACCATGCAACTCTGTTGGCAACATTCGGGTTTAGTTAACAAAGCGAGATCAATTACTTGCTTTGTTAACTTATTTCAATAGATGCTGTTTTTCGCTCCAAACTGCCTTGAGCAATGTCGTTTTATACACTACAGATTGGCATATATATTAGGCATTCGCTATTCACGCAGAATACTGTAGTTTGTTCGATTGTCGGGATAACGATCTCGCGATTTTGCAAGTTCGGGAAAACCGCCTTTTTCATGCAAATCGCCAGTCACAATAGCCTAAAAATAATAATGGTGCTATCGTTGAATTATGGACGGGTCATTTGCGCCGTGGTTGGGGATGTTGGCAGCTTGATTGGGAAATGGTGTACCCTAGACCCCCCTCCCCGTTGCTCAAGGCGCGGCAGTCTTATATAAAGACGCTCACTTCGATATTTCAGACTGCATACTTACACACCATTTAGAGTTATCGAGATAATCGAGCTTAAAGTTGGCCAATTGATTTTCGCACTTAACCGAAACTTTGACATTTATTGCAGACTCTCATAAACAAGCTGTAAAAATTCTCTTATTCAATTGCTTTTAGCAAGGGCTTTTAAAAAACACTTGAACCTCTAAAATTGAAAAAAAAATTGAGCTCACAACACTCTATCGTCATTTCGCGGGCCCATAAACGGGGATAATGTTTTTGAGCGACCATCTTATTCAGCTTTAAATATTCTATAGCTTATAAGGGCCCAATAGATAGAGGAGACGCCCCGCTTTCGTTTAGAGTGCTTAAATCGCGATTCGTACTTAGGTTCGTAAGTATCCTTTTGTTTGACGCAGTCTCATTTGCTCTCCATCTCTCAAGCTGCGATATTCAGACGTCTTTCGCGGCAACGGTGGCAACTCTCTTCGTTTCTTGTAATGGGCTCTTGAGCTCAAACCCACCGATGCTCTCTCCGTCTAAAATGTCGAGCCATCATCGTTTGCGGTCTCACCAGACACTTGTGGAGGATTCCAATGCCGGTATCTGTCGAACGAAGCTTTGAAGGAACTGTTGGAGCAGGGATACTCTGTGGGCGACTTTGCCCAGAAATTGGGCATTGCTAATGATATTGTACGCGCTCAAACTTCAAACGGCGCTCTCCAGAAGCTCATGCGCAGGGACGAGTTCATGAAGTACGCGACTTATCTCACCTTTTTGTATAAAGCAAACAGCAAGAAGCGGCCGGATCTGTGAGATTCTATCCCGTTTTACTGTGTGATATGCTAATTGCTACAACGTGCCAGCGTCCACGGCCAGACATCATTGCCACAGCCCAAGACACTGGCAATACCAGTACTACCGATCCGACGTACGCGTGTCTATGCAATGGTACTGCATCCCGGCCTACCGGTCTGCAACGCGCTCGTGTGCGAGCTGCGTGCGGAAAATACCAAGGACTGTATGAAATAACGACATTGGTGGCGGTGAGCAAGTCAACGCTCGTCGCAGGTGATGGTGAAATACTTAGCTTTCGATAGACTATCTTAGGTTGAGTATGTGCTAATCTATTTTTGCGGAACATGGAGATTCAGGTGCTGGCGGCTCTCACTCACACAACTGCTTTTACGGTGCTGCGCGCACAAGGAGTGAGAGGCAGCAAGCAACAGAAGTCCGTGGTCCTGTCTCTGCCCGGTACTCACATGTCTTACATTCTAATTCCTACTGCTCTACGCCTACTGCCCTACAAGTCTGTACCAATGGCACCTACTCTACGTAGTGATAGAAGGTCGGAGAACCCGGTGACGCACCATGCGTCATCTCAGGATCTTATCTACTACTGATAAGTAGAGCAAGCCCCTGCCAAGTGCATGTAGAACAAGCTCAATGCAATTTCGTTTATCGACTTAGAAATAAAAAGTTCCCCACGCAGCTGCGAATTAATACAAATCATTAACCCGATCGCTCTGCTAGTTGTTCTCTTGGAGTCACTGTGTGGTTTGTGCTTTGCAAATGTTTGGTGGCTAGCATGTTGGTGGAATTAGAACGGCTCATCGTCAACCTCGCTCACATTACCAAGGACTACGTTCGTGTTTTTCTAAATACCTGTCAAATCGGATATATGTACTGAATTCGGGCAATCCGTTTGCCTACGTGGTTATATTTGAACAGGAAGCAGCAAGGTAACAAGTGTACGCCAAGCTCAGATAGGGTTTTTACTACCCACCCCTGCACACATGATACAATCGAAGCTAAGGTCAATGCAAGCCTCGATGGCGAGATCTCCTTGCACTTTCGTGCCTTGTGACACGGTTACGATGTACTGTGTCCAACACCGGTCAGCGTAACCTTCATGCCACCTCGTGCATGGGCATCCGCCACAGCGATGGCCTCAATCTCCTCCGTTCCGTCTGCCTAATATCATCAACAACGCAATGAAGCCATGTAAATTTAAATTATTAAACAAGAAGAATCGGTGCTTACGATGAGGGCCAACACAGCGCAAGCTTCGCAGTCACTTGAAGTCATCGTCGCAAATGTTTTTAAGCTTGGAAATCAGTGATTGGAAAAAAAGATATTACCAACGATTTTTCATAATCACTGCTATTGCAATCTGCGCTCGCAGTAACGTCCGATCCTGCAGTGAGAATTGCAGTCGAAAGTCGACTTGCAATCTAAAATGCAATACCTTCATGCTCTCTAATTTACATTGCAATACTTTATCACCTTGCAATAATGCATTGCTCTTCGACTTTGCAAATTCCATGTGTAAGCAACTTATAGTTACGATTTTTTTTAGGATTCCGTGATACCTGGGTGGTACACAGGACTATGGCATAGGCACAAGCATCGGTATAGGAGCAAGGGGGTTGGCAGTGGCGTTCGGTCTCTCATTCTTCATCTTACTCAGGCTCGAGTAGAACTCACCTTCACCAGCTATTCTCGAAGCTCAGCATCAAGTCGTGACATACCAATATCTTCGATTCATGCGTGGAACGTCAGCATCGGAGGAGCGCTTGTTTAGTTCGGCAAAATACGTGATGACAGAACGCAGAACCGGATGACCCCGTCATGTTCGAAGCCATCATGTTCTTAAAGACTAACCGCGCTTATTAGGACTCTAGACTTGTGGCCAAGGCAATCAAGAGCGTTCACAATGTGCCTGTGGACCAGCATAGTAAAAAAAGTATACCGTTGGATATTGTAGGTAGTGCAGTTTGGTATTGCAGTTTCGGTTAGCCATGCAATTGAATATTGCAATCTCGGGTCGTTGTGCAATTGAGTATTTTTATTTCGGGGATGCCGCAGATGGTCATTTTTCTTGCAATACTTTTCCGGTGGATAGACCAATTTATTTTTTCCAATCACTGTTGGAAATGCGACACTAAGAAACGGAGATTGTGGCGAAGGGAGAGCGTTGTCGACCACATCATTGAGCAAATAGGCTGGCAAAAGGATAATTGCTCCCAGGACTGGAGCCGTTGACGCAGGCAAAACCCGCTTACAAGCCTATCCGACCACTACTATCGGTTGTCACAATTATCGAGCTCGAACTGCATTTATTGTGAAATTTGTCTTTTTCTGACAGCTGATTGGCTGCTTCTGTTGAAGTCTTCTTCCTCTCATCCGTCATCATTCCCTATAAAAGACGCTTTTTTCATTGGCTGAAATCCAACCGAGCTGGAGCCATCACTTTTGACTGGCAATCAAAAAATACGAGCGACCATGGCTGCAAACACGGAGCTCGCGAAGGAGAAGGAGGAGGGCGCTTCCGAGTACCAGAAGCAGAAGAAGGTCGTAGGCGACCTGCTCTCCAGCGCCGAAAGTGCGTTTTTACTGTCATTATTGCCTTCTTCTGACAATATTTCAATGAAAACTCACCTTTTCACTATTTTTTCCCGCTATAGATGGCGATCTGGAGCAGTTGAAGACGACGCTCGAGTCCTTACAGGTCATGGGCGTCACTGACGTCAAGGAGGCGCTTATGGACTTCAAGGACGCGCACAAACGCACAGCGCTGCACTTCGCAGCGGCTAAAGGACGTCGCAAAGTGATCAGCTTCATCCTGGACCGAGCGCCCGAGTGCGTGGAGTGCGTGGACGAGGAAGGCGCCTCGCCTCTGCTCTACGCAGCCAAAGGGAACGAGTTTGCGGCCCTTAAACTGCTGCTAGCGCACTTTGCCGACCCGAATACTGCCATGACGAACGGCACGACGGCTCTGCACGAGGCATCAGCCAATGGATCTATCCGTACCGTCAAGCTGTTGGTAGAACACAAAGCGCAGCTAGAAGCCACCACTAGGAACGGCACAGCGATGCACTTTGCCGTCAGTGAGAACCGCGAGAAGACGGTGGCCGAGCTGCTGCGTCTTGGCGCCAAGGCCGACGTCGTCAACGCCGGCGGCGTCACGCCACTAATGCTGGCTTGTCTGATGAACAAGCCTATTGTAGTTAAGGAGCTACTTGAGGGCGGCGCGACACTGTCTTTGACTATGGAGGGGAACCTCACAGCGCTTCACATGGCTGCAGAGACGGGCTTTACTGAGGTGGTACAGGAGTTCTTGACCTGTAGACTGGAGGACACGAAGGAGGTGGCCAACTTGGCGTCAGACGCTGGCGCTACGCCACTCCAACTAGCTGCAGGGATGGGCCACCACGAGATCGTGACTCTGCTTCAGCCTATCACGCAGGGCTTCGAGGACGTCGATCTGGACAAGCTGATGGCTACAGAGAAGATCAAACTGGACGCCTACTACGAACAAGCTGCCAAGAACAAGACGTCGACTGCTCCTGCTGCTGGTAACGAGCCTCAGACGACGGAAGAGAAGCTGGAGGCGGAGAATCAGAAGAGACTTGCGGAGATCGAGAAGGAAGAGGACATTGCTGTCCCTGACGCGGTGGAAACCACTGAAGAGCAGGAGAAGGAAGCCACTCAGTTCAAAAGTGACGGTAACAAAGCGTACTTGGCGAAGGAGTACGCTCTGGCTGTGTGTCTTTACTCCAAGGCGATTGCGATCACACCCACGGACGCGGTGTTGTACAGCAACCGCTGTGCGGCTCATCTAGGCGCGGGCGATGCGAAACAGGCCCTGCATGATGTGCGTGTGTCCAAGAAGCTTCGTCCGGAGTGGCCTAAGGCGCTTTTCCGCGAGGGTCAGTGTCTCGAAGCGCTTGGGCTCTTTGAAGAGGCTGCGTGTGCCATGTGGGCTGCCATGCAGCTTGCTCCGGATGACAAACTGCTGAAGCGCCGATTCCAGGAATGCGTAAAGCGTGGTCGCTCTGACCACCAGGCCAAGCTGCAGTCTGCAGCTTGAGATGATTGACGTGTCATGGACTAATATATGGCATCGTACTGAAGAACGCACAGGTATTGGAAGACGTAGTAGCACTGAAGCATTGTTCTTTGATGGAAAAGCTTATCAGACATCAGTTGCAGTGTAAGCACCACGAGACGCCCAACATCATGTAGTCGCGTCACTTTGTGAACATGATCGGTGATGTTTCTAGCGGGTCTTACTAACTTCACAACGGGAGCCCAGTACGCAGAATACGGTGCATTACGTAGGACAGGATAGGAATCTAGGATTGCGCTTGTAATGTCGTTGATCTACTGCATTTCTTTCTAAAAATGCCGTGAAAATGGGAGCCTGACTAGCTAAGATAAGAGAAGATAATCGTCTACAGGAACATCAATACTACCCTATCATTTTGTTGCGAAGCACAATAACTTCAATATAGTGTTCGCACAAAATTGTATTTAAAACTAACTGCATTGTCGGGAAACCTGTGTTTGCTAGTGTATTGTAAATAAATAAAACATAGTTACACTTGTTCCTTGTTAATTTTGATCTCAAAACTTATGTGATCAAGGGCCGACTGACATGGGCTCATTTGTCGCGTGTGTATGCATTTCTTCTTCTTAAAATACTAGTATTAACACTTTTATTTTTAGCCCTCTGCGCATAGGCAATAGAATATCAGGCCCTTGCTCGTTTTCTTCTACATCTTTTTTAACGACACATCGCACATTGTGCAGTAAGCGTTCTCTTTTCTGTAAGCGTTCTCTTTTCTCTTTATCTCTTGTTGTTCGTTGCTGTTGTCTCCTCAAGCAACTCACTCCTCCGTATGACCACCAGCGTAACCACTACTCCGTCCTGCAATCGCACAAACCCCTAGAGCCCTAAATATACACGACAAGAAATATGCACAGCTCCAGAGATAAATCTTGCCGACCAAATAGAGGCGTGGGGCGTCAGGATCTCCTAGGCCTGTGCTCTTTCCGTAGCAGCTACAGTCAATCACGAGCGGGCTGCAGATACCGCGAGTGTGTGATCTCTTCTCCAGAGACCTGTGCTCTTGTCCGTGACCGCTGCGGCTACCACGAGCGGGCTGCTGATACCGCGAGTGTGTGACCTTACGGGACTTCAGATACCCGCGTCTTCACACCCGACGCGTCCACTAGCTCAGTACACACGCAACAAGCAATACACTCGGTTTCAATCTCTTTATTCGCGTACATCGCCGGCACGGCGGAACCGCTCTACCACTAGGTGCTCGCGCACTTCGCAGCTAATCTCTTCCTAGTTCACCGGAGCACTTGCGCACTTCAGCGTGAATCTAGAACTGATTCACTCCCTCACGTGACCTCCAGGTTCACGTCGACTTCGTCGTGCCTCCCCTGAGTGTCGTCCATCTGCGCATTGGCATCTGCGTCGTACCACTGTCTTCTACTGTCTTTACTCGAAAGGGCGCGGGCAAGATCCTCACATCCGTGGGTCAGCCTCGGCAACCCGTCAATCTTCAACTCGTCTCCACTCTCCGCCGTCTGCTTCTTCTCATCGTTGTTCATGTAACTCTTACGTCTTCTTGCTCCACTCGGGAACCTGCATCTTCCAAGAGGATCTCCATCCTCTTACTCTCTTTCCCCTTTTCACTCGAATCGTCCTCGATTCGCACCGTAGATTGTCATTCGTTTGTCCCACCTAATCAGTTGCCGCTGTCCTGCTACGGTCACGTGTTGTTGCTACGCTACGATCTTTCTGTCCTCCTCGATCGTCATCCCGCTCACTCCGAAGTCTTCCTTCGCGCCACAGATGCTCAAAGTCCTTGAAGTTGATCCACAATCGCTCTGGTCTTCCTCCGTCATGTCGATCTCCCAGGCGTTCCACTTCGAATTCCAGTACGTAACGCCCCGTACGGCATCTGTACCTTCGCCTTCTACGCTCCACCACGGTGTCGGTAGGTCCAATTCTGGCGAGACGTGAGTGTGTAGATACGAGGCTATCAACTCCTCGACGACCTCTATTGGCAAAGATATAGACCCTCGGCTCTTCGTTTTCTTCGTGGGCGATCCGTCGGAGCTCTCGCTCAAGTTCCTGGAGTTCGTGCTGCTCTCGTCGTCGTACATGTCCGCCGCTGGCCGCTTTACTCCCCGGTTCTCTCGCAGTTTGTTTGCTGCCTTCACCTCCTCTGCCATAGCCAGTGCCGCTTTGACTTTCTGATCCCACAGGTACTGTTCTCGTTTTGCTCGTTCCAGTGCCTCCGGAGACTTCTTGCTCGCGTATTGCGGCGTCCTCGCGTTCTGTTCCGCGGTAGGGAGCTCGTCGAATCTTGGAACGGGTTCTGCTGGCGATATTACCGTCTCGTTCTTCGGGCCCCACTCGTCGGTTTTCATGCTCTCGTTGCCATCTGCCGTCTGCTGTCGCGGGTTCTGGCTCGCCATCAGGTTCTTGCTGCCCGCCGATACCTTCTGGTTCGTCGTCGCTCTCGCTCTTGCGCTCCGTTCCGTACGGGTCTCTGGTTCCAACTGGCGAATCTACAATTGCCGCTACTGGTGTTCGGTTCACATCTGTTGGTCGTCTTCTATCAATCGATGTCTCTTCCTGTCTTATTCTCGTCCCAGAGCTGCCTTCCTCTTCTGAGTTTTCATCGGCTGCTGCGATGGCTTCATCTCTCAGGTTTATTGCCATGTCTTCGGCCATCTCCTCCAGCAGGTGAGTCGGGTAATAATAGCTCAACAGGAAAGAGCAGTGGATCACTAACTCATGTCCTGATTCCAGCATCTGCACCAGGTAGTTATCATAACCAGCTGCCTCCACAATTTTTCCAGGTCCTCGCCATCGGTGTCCAAACTTAGTGATCCCTGGGCCCTTCGCTGGGCGGTAGACACACACAAGTTGTCCATCCCGGAAGTTGCTTCCTCTTCGTACGGCGTTGGTTATAATACATGGCTTGTCTCGCTTGCTCTTTTTCCAGTGCTACTGCCGCTAATTCTTGCGCTTTCTGCAGGTCTTGCACCAGGACTTCGTGATAGTCGTCCAAGGTACTATGAGGAAACTCCAATCTGCTTCTGCGCAGCAGCTCTGCTGGGGTACGTAGCTTCCTTCCCATCATCAGCTCATTTGGTTGATAACCGTGCGTTGTGTGTCTCGAAGAGTTGTAGGCGTACAGCGCACTCGGCAAGAAATCGTCCCAGTCATCCTGTTGCTCGTCCACGTACAGGCTAATCATGTCTTTCCGCGCTCGGTGGAATCGTTCAACGAGTCCAAGCAAATTCGGTCGGTACGGTACAGGTGTAGACTGCTTCGTTTGCATTAGATCCAACAGGTCTGCTGTCACCTTGCTACCAAATTCTCTTGCTCCGTCCATCATGACCTCACGCATTGGCCCAAAAACTAAGACAACCTTCTCCATCAGAAATCGAGCGATCGCCTTCGATGTGTGATTCTTCACTGCCACTGATACCGCATATCGAGTGGTATATTCCACGGCCGCAATGACGAATCGATTGCCTTCCCCTGTTTCTGGTAATGGACCCGCTACGTCAACATCTCTCTTCGTGTCGCCAACCGGGCAAGAGGAAGGAGCGACACTTCCTTCCCCTTCCTCCTGCCCCCTTCATTGTTGGGACGTACCAGCGGGTGCAGTCACGTTCCCAGCGGCCACGCTCTGCATCATTCCTCGCAAAGTATCGAGGCTCGGGCATCTCGCCACCAGGTGACCCGCCTTACCACACATCAGACATTCCGCTTGGCGTCGCTCTCCGTTCCGGTAATTCCCTTGGGGTCTTGGCCAGTTGCTCTCCATCGAGTTAGTGTCCAAGTTCGTTACACCGATTGCAACGGCCTTGTCCACGGGGACACGTCTCACGTCCACATCCAACACGACCACAGCGTCCGCAAACCACTTCCCCTTCCGTGGTACGCGTGTCAGGCCCTAGTCGGATGCGAAGAGGTCCGAGCGGTGCGCCAGCCACGTTCCCATTCGGAGCTGGAGCGCCAGTACTTGGAACGTTCGTAGGAGCCACGGCGCCAACGAACCCTTGTGACGTTCCAGGATTCTGATGCTGTTTCAGCATCAACTGGTTCATTTGTTGAAGCTGCTGGAGCATCTGCGACTGCGTGGACGTCACCGCGTTCACGTTCCTCACCGTCGTTCCACTATTAGCAAACTCGTCCTCTTCTTCCACAGGGAGGTGCAGATTCTTGTACAGCAATAAAGCGCACGCCTCCTGGATCGACGCAGCTAGGTTCGCGTTCAAAACGGCACGCATCTGCTTGTTCCTTAACCCATCGAGGAAGAACTCGTACTGCATACGAGGTTCGTGATAGTTTAGGTACTCGCACATCGTGATGATCCGGTCGCCCCACTTATCCGCAGATTCGCCGTAGTTCCTCTTTGCGGCCTTGAGTCGGCTCCACAACTGAGCTGGCGTCTGAAAGATGAAGCGGTTGTGGAATCTCACGCGCAGGGTCTCAAAATCGTTGATCCTCGCATTGTACCACCACTCCTGACCCAACTTGCCCTTCAGACACTGCTCAAAGGAAGTCAACCGCATTTGGTCGTCCATACCGAGCGTACACTTCTCGAAGGAACGCCAGAACGCGGCCGCCCTTTCGTACGTGGCCGTCTCGGAGTAGAATGGAACGATAACTTTCACTGCGTTCCGCAATTCCGTCGGGATACCAACAATCGGAACGTCCTGCTGAGCACCTCTCCCTGACCCGTGCGAGCCATTGCGGACTCCTTGGTCGTAGTACGGACTCGTCACTTGCCCTTGCGGAGGTACTGCGTTATGTGCGTACCTTCCTCCTTGAGCACCCACGTTCCCTTCTTGTCCTAGCGCTCCTGCTCGTCCCTGGAACGTCGCAACATTCATAGGAGACGTTCTCTGGAACGGCAATCCGTACGTTCCGCTTCTGGGGCTGGCAGGTGTCTGCCGTGCAGACGCAGCAGACCACGCGGGTATCATTCCAGCAGCAGCCCACCCAGGTGTCGACGTCATTGGCGGTTGGAAGGGAGGGTAGAACGCACTCCGTTGGGGCGTTCCACCACCTCCACCGTTCCACGTGGAACCAGCCATTGGA